AAATGCTATTTTTTTCTTTTACAAAATTCAATCCAGACTTCAATAAACATTATTCAAAATTCTTTTAAAACATTCCAACCTAAAATTCTTGATTTTCATCAGCTTAGCTTTGTCGAGCAAATAACTAAATCAGGAGGGGGAATGATCATGTAGCACCAATCTTTCAATAGGGGAGAGCTTGCCTGCCTTGAAAATCAGTATTCAAAACCCTAGCTTTTATTCAGATTCAATCACTGATTACTTGTCCAACTTCAAACACAAGAATAGGGCCCTACTATAGATATTTCCTAAATGAAGAGTTGAAATACAGAAACAAGGAATAGTAAGATTGTGTAGCGCCAATCTACCTGCCTTGAAAATCTATATACAAAATTCTGGTTTTTAACCATTCTTAAAAGCTGACCACTGGTACTGGTAAGAAATAGCAGCCACTGAGATCTAAAGTCTTGATCATCAAATCTTGAACATTAAACATCCATTGAAGAAACTCTTAGGTCCTAAATCCATAATATTTGACCCTCAGTTTATTTTTCAATGCCTTTAAGTGACTATCAGTTGTGATTATAGCAGTGAATATTTGTTAATCTCAGTTTTAAAAATTTAAACAAAAAAGGGAAAAGTTTTATCTTGAACCAAGAAAAAAGATTGTGTGTCAAATGGACGGTTTTAATCTTGACACTGCTATTACTTTATGCACTTGCAGTAAATATTATTGTTTTAAAAGGCTAAGGTTAAAATTTCAATAAAATCACAACATATGGAACTGAATTTATACATTTTTTTTTCTCTCAACCAATTACTAGCAAATGAAAGAAATGTCAAGAAAATGTCTTTTTTCGGAATTGATAATTTTACAGTTTATTTGATTTTTTTTTTTGTTTTGCAGTTCAGATTTTTTTATAATTTTATGAATAAAAAAATACTTTTAGGGTTATTACTTTTAGGTTATTACTTTTAAGTTATTTCTTTGCAAATAATAAATAATTTAGTGGAGTTGGTTCACATAATAATCTTGTAAATAATAATAATGTTAAAACTGAAAAATATGTTAAGATTATGATAATTTAATATTTTTTTTCATACATGTAGAAATTCTGCCAAAAATCTTTTACAATTTTGTAAACAAATCGTTTATTGTTATAATTCACAAATAAATTCTATTCCCTTGTAAAAAAAAATATTGTTATCAACGTCATGTCTCTATTTTATAATCTTGTAAGTAAACAACTGAATATACCATGTTTAATATTTGTGTTGTCAATTCCCAATAAGAAATGCATAAATCTAGTTTGATATTTTCAGGCTTTATTAAAATTCTAAAAATAACTTTTTAAAATAAAAAAAAAACAATTACCAAGGGAATATACAGATATAGTGGTGTGAAGAGAAAAATAAAACATCCTTTTGACACAGCATTTTTGCTGTTTTTTACTGGTCTTAAATTAAACCTTGCCCAAAAACTTGAGATGTTCTGTAAACTTTTGTGCATTGAAGATCAGACAAGATTTGTTTCAAAGTTAACAAAGTTAGAATTTTTCACTGCTAAAAATGTCTGCTATTTCTTTCCAGCATCAATAAACATAAAATGATTTAAAGAAACATTTTTAAAAAAAATTCTGCAGAATCCTTCTTAAGCCTTCTTAATAACAGTTAAATACAAACAATTCAAATACAACAGCCCTATGCAAACAAATATGAATAGCCTACAGCAAGGCTGATTTATAAAGAATAATGTCTATATTATGAGAAAATTTGTCCCTTTACTATAAATGAGTTTTCAAAAATTTTTTTTCTAAAAAAGATACTCTACAAATAAATGGTTACAAAGAAATTATTCCCTTTCTGTGGCATGAGCTTCTTCACTTTTTCTTTTTTCTATCTCAGAATTGAGCTTTCATTTATTCTTTTAGACATTTTGAAATTGTTCAAGCTGATATAAATTTGCCTTCCAAGAAAATATCATTTATTTTATTAGCCATTCTTGAAATAAGATATTTTAGTTCTGGTAATAAAATTCCAGTGAAAAGTTTTCAAACACCAAGTTTAAGGCATTTATCAAACAATAAATTGAATGAAAAGTAGTTATTAGTCATAATTCATTTATTTTTCTACCAGATTTCCTAGAACTGAAGATGCAATTTTTGTTCCTGAAATAAATCTTAAAATTAGCCCTTCTTGTCTCATCCTAAAGACAAAAGGCTACTTTTTATCTTGTCTTATTTTTTATTTTCTTGTTTTTCTTTGCTTTGTCAAAATTGAGAAAAACAAATATTGTCAGATTATAAATGAAAAAAACCATTAATCATTTCTAGGTCAAATCTTTTATTTATTGCCTCTTGTAATTTTTAATAATTTGTCTGGATGATTGAAACTATTTTATAATTCCAGTCTGATGAGGTCTATAGACAACTGGTCTATATGGAATAAATTATTACCAAACTCTTTAATGATGTATTGAGATTTTCCTTTGAGATTATATATATAAGAGAGAGAGAGAGAGAGAGAGAGATAATATTAGTATATATATATATATATATATATATATATATATATATATATATATATATATATATATATATATATATATATATATATATATATATATAAATTTCTAAGAGGATAGAATCCAGAGCTCAATGTCCAGGACAGAGTAAATGCTTTTGAATTTGTAGGTCTGATGAATTGATCGTGATTACGATTCCAATGTAATAAATTATAACCATGGAATATTAGTGTTTGAGCTTTTTTTTATATATATATATATATATATATATATATATATATATATATATATATATATATATATATATATATATATATATGACTATCTTAACTATCAAATAGTCAAATAGGTCTATATTTACAAAACAGAAGTCTGATACAAGATCAAAAAATAAGAGAGAAGAAGATTGTATCGTGCCATTTTCTAAGCATGAAAGGCTTGTCTATCAGGATAATAAAACAATACTTGAAGTCTAGGCCTTTTAAAATGCCAACTACTTCAGCCAACAAGCTGAATTGTATATTTAAATAGTGTACAGTTTAGATATCAAACCAATGCCTATATAGTTGGAAAGATATGCTAATCTAGACAACTACTTGACTTAGGATCATGGGGAAGGGTTTTTTTATGTTTGCTCATAATTCTTTGAATGTTTTAATTCATAAGTTCAGTAACAAAACTGGAAGGAAAACATACACAAGAAATTAAATAAAAATTAAATACTAATACTAAAATTAGTAGCACTAATTCTACAAATTCTACTAACAGTTAACATTTTATATAAGCTCCTTACTACCTACATGAGTTGTTTTGCCTACACTTTTTTTATCAATGTTTTTTCTATCAATTACCATTCAAAGAAAAAAAAAATTTTTTTAATTTTATCTAACGAGGACACAGGTTCACAAAAAGGAAGAATTTCTATTTTTATAAGAGCAGTTTTAGACATTTTTAATGTCCACCAGAGAATATAAACAATCTAAAATTTGAGAAAAAATATTTTAAAATAAAAACAAAAATAAATTTTGACTGATCCTGGCAATTGAGGTTGCACTTAAAAAAATATGCCACAACAAAACTGATTATCATCACATAAAATTTGTTTTTTGTTTTCTCCCATTTTTTTTTTTTTTTTTTTTTTTTTTTTTTGGGGGGGTGACAATTACTCATAGCAAAGGGAAGTATTTCAATTAGCAAATCTTCTCCCCTTATCAGATGACAATGAAGTTGCTAGCATATACATAAACAGAAAGAACTGAGGTCTTTAAAATTTTTCTCCTTCTGATTGATGCAAAGAGAAATTACTTGTGCCAAAGTCTTGCAATTAAGTTGCAGGAATTTCCTTAGCACAAGTATGGATTCTAGTTGCATTCACCAAAATCTCAGAAAGTACGTCATAGATCAAGATATTAGACAGAAGGGAAAAAGAAATTGAAGATTTGTTAATCAAAACGGTAATCGAAATTAATGCTCAATTTAGAGTTCAAATAATCAACTTCCCAGTTTTCTGGTTTTATTCAAGATTTTAGAAAAAAATTAAAACATTAAATAATATTTTTAAATTTTTTTTTGAAAATCATTCGTTTTTTTTCTTTTACTTTTTTTTTTTACAAAAAACTAAATAAATACTTAGTCGGTACCATATTGCAGAGAGTCTTTTCTGAAAACTTTTGACAGCATCAATGTTTCTTGTTAACTTATCTATAAAAACTTTATCTGGATATATTAAAAAAAAAACTATTTTTTATTTATAGTAATTTATTTATAAGATTTTATTTAGAATAACCAGTATGTTTTTTCATTCAGTAAATTTCCGTCTGACTTTCCAAGATGAAGGTTTACTATCATTATTCTACTTGATTTATTTGAAGTGATGTCCTCCATCTTGGTTGCCACAGTAATGCCATTTTAGCTGCTGCATCCCTTTAAGCCCTCTCTTATTTGGAAACATTCTGAATTTCAATAGGAACATGAAGGAGGCTGAAGAGTGTAATGGCCAAAACATGACTATAACAACAAAGATGGGGATAACAGTTTAAGTGTATAATTCTCGCAATTAATTTTAAAAGAAAAAGAAGCAAGAAAGAGACGGAAGCCAAGTTTTTAAAGGACTTTTTACAATATGATAACTATCAAGTATTAACTAATAAACAGGAACTGAAAAAAAAGAAAAAACAATTTGGTTGCAGTTCAACTTGAATTAAGGCTGACAAAAATGTAGCACATTTCTTTTTTATCCAAAAAGAATTTTCTTTCTTCTGTTTGATGAGGCATTGAAGGTGGCCCTTAGCAGTGTCTATACATAATAAACCAGAGTAGTCTAGATGAGGCTCCTGACCACAAAAGTGGGACCCTCATTAATCTCTGGACTAGTCATCTATCCACTCAAGTTTATCTCACAGGGAATGGCTGCTCTTTTGAAGCACGGCTTAGAATTGAAAAAGAAGGAAACGTAGAAAAATGGGGTGTGACATCATTTTTTAAAAATGAATGAAAATCAATCCATAGATATTTGAAAGTGACAATTGATTGGAGTGGGGAGGGTAAAACTAAGTGTGAGGTTGTTGGGTGGAGGAAGGAAGAGAAAAAAAATGAGAAAAAGAAGAAGGAAAGAGTAAAGGAGGGAAGAGTAAAGGAGGGAAGAGTAAAAGAGGGAAGAGTAAAGGAGGGAAGAGAAAGAGAAGGAAAGAGAAAAAGAAAGAAAGTGAAAAAAGGAAAGCACAAAGAAAGAAAAAGAAAAGGAAAGAGAAAGAAGGAAAGAGTAAAAGAAAAAAAGAGGAAAAGAGGAAAGAAAGAAAAAAGTAAAGTAGAGAAAGATGAAGTCTACTGAAAGGCAAGAAAAAAGAAGGAAAGAAAGAAAGATAATTAATGATGGAGAATGGTCAATAGAAAGAAGACATATGGGATAAAAAAGAAGAGAAAAAAAGAAAGAAAAGAAGGAAGAAAAGAAAGGGAAATGGTAGACTGAACGAAGAGTGCAAGGGGTGGGGGGGTAATGTGTTTCTCCCTGATTTTGGTTGAGGGATCAGAAGAATATGGTGGGAGAAGTTACGAGGCACATCAGGGAGTTGGAGGGGATTGACTGTCCCGTGCCATCATTTTAGCTTCCAGTGAACAGTTACACAACTATGACAAGGTCTGTACATACACATATATACACATATACACACACGGACATACACACTGACCCAGTGTCCTATCTAAGGGAAACCAGGTGGGACACCACATCTTGGTGAGTGCAAGGGGGGATAACCCCTTTATTGTTCAGCAGTATGAAATTCATTTGAATTCTGAAAGATCAAATGGTAATGGTTTTCAAGAGAACCGAACAATGATTTGATAAAATATTTCCCTCCTCCCGCCATGTCATCAACCATATGACCCCCAGTACACAAGAAATGTAATACACACTTCCACATTGACACACACTTCAAGTAAATACATACAAAGACTATTACACATTTGCATACATCTGCTAATAAAATATAGTTGACACATGAGAGCGCAATAAAGTTTTCTGTTTTTCAAGTTCAAAAAACATGATTCAGTATCAAACAGTAAATGAAAGTTACAAGACCAAATGAACATTTTGTGATTTTATAAAATATACAAAGAATATTTTTGCCATCCATTTTTTGAATAATCTATAGAGTATACATTGATATTTAATATTATATACGTAATAAATTTGGAAAAACGTTTATGAAAGTATATTTCGAAAATAACATCTGATAATGTATTTCGCCTATAATGGCTTCCTCAGATGGATAATGAAAAATGTGTTGTGTGTGTATGCATTTGTGTATTTAAATCTTATCTTATTTTTCCCAAGCAGCTAACATGGAGAATGCATGGATAAAAACAAATCTTTTATCTATTTCCTACTCATTCTGAAGGATTTTCCATCTCAAAACTTGGATACTTAAGGCAGAGAATATAAAATGTTACACAATTTCTTTTTTAAAGTCACTCATTTTCTTTCTGTTGTTTAGTCTCAAGCAATGCCAGTTTGTGAAAAATAATATAAGATTTAATCATTTTAAACACACACAAATGCATACACATATAACACATTTTTTGTTATCCATCTGATGAAGCCATATAACCGGAAAACATTATCAGATATTATTTTCGAAACATACTTTCATGAACGCTTTTCCAATTGTCAATAATATATATATATATATATATATATATATATATATATATATATATATAAGGGGAAAGTTATACACTGTTATACTTCTTTCACCATAAATTGTCCTTGATATATAAAAGATTTATATTTTGTTATACCATATATGTATATATATATATATATATATTCAGTCACATGGATATGAGTTTGAGACCCTGGGTTTCATGCTTTTGCGATAAAGAAGTAATGGATTAATTTTCAATCCTACAGCTTTATTACTTCCAACATTATTATTAGTGGATACTTATATTTGAAATACACATCCTATTTTTATTTTTATTTTAAACAGTGTATTACATCTCTTGACTTGGGTTTTGAGAAAAAATATCTGAATGAGAAAGTGTACTTTCTATAAAAGAAAAAATAAAGCTTAGCCCTATTGTGACACTCTCTATAGCCAAGTGGTAAAGAACACTAGAAGATTAAAAAATGGTTTCTACTACAAAGAGAGATATAGGTTCAATCCCTGCTGGAGCACACATCTTTAAGATTTCTCAAATGCTCAGGTTAATAGATATGATACATAATGTTTAAAATAAAAATAGGTTGTCTATTTCAAATACAAGTATCCCCTATAGCATTTGAATATATATATATATATATATATATATATATATGACACACACCCTCACACATCATATGAACATTTACTTTTACTTAAATCTCTGTAGACTAGTAATTACATTAAACAAAAATAGGAATAATTGGAAGTTTAAGGGGGTTCTTAGAAATATACATTTGTAGTTGCATAGAAATACACCCCAACACATATATATTTATTTACTAAAAAAAATACCTACTTAAATACATTAATATATATGCACATATACACACAAATATATATGCACATATGCATTTATTTATTAAGGACAAATTAGAGAAAAATGTAGAAACACATTCACTTATATAACATACAAACACTACATATACCCACACTCATATATATATATGTTTCCCTTTTTATTAATGCTTCTTTGGAAAATGAGATATAGCAAAAAAAAAATTTTGGTATTTTTACTTTTGTATTGTTTGATTTTCATTGGTTAATCATGTTTCACATGCATTTGACTTGTTAAACAAACGTTAGTATAATTTATGGCATTCCAAATTCAAGGAGAAAAAATGCGTCCATCTAGAATTTCTTGAATTTGGAATGCCATAAATTATACTAACATTTGTTTAACAAGTCGAATGCATGTGAAACCTGATTAACCAATGAAAAATCAAACAACACAAAAGTAAAAATACCAGAATTTCTTTCTTCTTTTTCTCCATCTCATTTTCTGATGAACGTTTAATAAAAGTGAAATATGTTAGATAGATGAACATTTCCTATTTGTTATTCATTGTATCATTCTGTCGGATTCCAATCCATATTTGATCCGTATTTAATCCCAACTTATATATATGACATACTGAAATATACACACACATACATACATACATGCACATATATACACGTATATGTATATATGCCATAAACACACACTCACATGCATATCAATATAGGTATATAATTAAGTCCATGGCCTTACGAAGCAAGCATTTATTTTACATGACAAGTGTATAATTTTTAACATAATCTCTTCTTTTGTCAATGCACTTAATTATGTGGTGAATATTAATCCCAGAGATTGAACATTTCTGATGAGAATTCTGTTGATAACAGTGTCATGCTATGGACTTATTGATCCTATACATGCACCTCCATTCATTTGTTCTTTATGCCCCTGTGTTTCTGTCCTGGAAGACTTTCAGATTTGCACGAAGTATTAAGAAAGAAAAAAAAAACATTGTTCAGAGCAGAAATGAAAGATTTGTTGGGGTTGAGTTTTTGCTCCAACAGCATTTCCTGAGGGCTGTGGCAGCCCCTGCGTCATTATATTCCTCCTTTCGCAGCCACATTGGCCGAAATGTTTCCATTGATGCTACAATGGCGCCCCCCATCCAGGCTGAATATTTACGCACAGGGGGTGCCGTGATATTCACATTTGATAAAGACAAAACGGAAAGTTCCGCATGAAGCCGAGATGACAGACCTGGGAGCAAAGTTGTCCCTCCTGCCAACACCACATTGGATGACATTGTCTCTTGTAGAGAAACATGGCACCGGAGAATCGATTTAGCAATAGTCTGCTGTAGACTAAGACACGTAAAACCACAAAGTTCTGGTTGAAAAAGGAGCTCAGGTACTCGGATTCTTTCCATGCTGACAGCCAATCGGGTATCCAAACCGGGTAACTGGTACATCTCGTCCTCCTGCAAGGGCATCGTGCTTTTTCGAGCTTCACTGTATTTCATAACCATACAGTACTTTTCTTTTATGTCACGTACCATTGAGCGAAAAGTGTCGACTGACTGTCGCAAGCGAGGAACAGCCTCTCCCTGTAAGGATCGTCCCAACTGTTCAGTGAGATCACAGCCAGCCACTGGAAAGCGAACAATAGCTTCATTACATGGATAACCATCAAAAACAGGTACCACATGAGTTGTACCTTCTCCTGCATCAAGTACGACGCCTGACCAATGTCCTGATCCATAGAGGGACAAGACAGGCTGCAAAATCAGGTAAAGAGCTGGAATGTCAAATGTTTCAAACAGAACCTCAGCAAGTTTTTCCCGATTCTCCTGAGGAGTGAATGGGGTCTCACTGAGCAAGGCAGGTTGCGTATCTGAAGCAACTCCTAACCGATCATAGCACTGCTGCCAAACGTCTTCCATTGCATCCCAATTTGTTACAACGCCCCGTTGAATCGGGTTACTTTGGATTACATCATCGGTGCTGGCGCCAAAAATTGGAGAGTCTCTGTCTTTCAGGCAGAATTTCCCCGACTAAAAGAGAGAAAGAGAGAGAGAAAAAAAAAAGAAATGATGATAAAAATCAAATCAAAGTTGTAAATAAAGAATTTGGTGTAAACTATTTGCAAAAATTAACAGAAATCACTCTTATTTGAAAAAATTCTTGTATAAAATATTTTATGTTGAAAACTGAACATGAATAAAAATCACATCTGTAATGTTTTATGATTCCGGTCGGGGGGGGGATTATCTTCATAATTATTGTTTGTAGTGTCACATTCCATTGAACAGTTCCACAAGTTTCATTACGTGTGATTGTATTGCATCTTGTCATTTTTAATTCACTTCAGTAATTTTTAAAATCCACCCAAAATGTTGAAGAATAAGGTCTAAAAATGATGTGGAATAACATACAGGCTGAATATAGATATAATAATGATATATATATATATATATATATATATATATATATATAAAATATATATATATATAAATTTTATATAACCATTTTATATAGATATTATAATAATGATATGTATCTATCATTTTATAACCATTTTATATAGATATGATAATGATGATATATATATATATATATATATATATATATATATATATATTATAATGTTTGGCTTTCCCCAAATGTTTATAGCACTTTCTTCACTTCTGAAAGCAACTGGTCCTCAATATGATCAAAATCTTTGGATAATTTTCAGACAGACCACATATTTACAAATGGATTACTTATATTTGGGAATAGGTTCATCAGTAGAAACACAACCTGAATTAAATTAGACAAGATTATATTTACCCTCTGTGTGTGCAGTGTGGTGGGAGAGGGGCATGTATGTATGTATGTATGGATGTGTGTTTGTGTCTGTATAGGTGTCTTTGGATATGTGTGCATGAATGTCTCCATTGATATGCATGCGTGTCTGTGTGTATGTCTCCATGAATGTATGGAGTGCATGTGTGTTTCTGTAGATGTGTGTGTATGTCTCTGTTAATGTGTGTGCATATATCTCTTTGGATGTGTGCGTGCATGTATGTCTCCAAGGATTTGTGGTATGCATGTGTGTTTCTGTGGATGTGTGTGCATGTATATGTTTCTGTGGATGTGTGTATATGTGCATGGCTCCATGGATATGTGGTGTGCATGTATGTTTCTGTGGATATGTATGTATGTATGTATGTATGTCTCTATGGATGTGTGTATATGTGCATGTCTCTCTGGACGTGTGTATATGTGCATGTCTCTCTGGACGTGTGTATATGTGCATGTCTCTCTCGACATGTGTATATGTGCATGTCTCTCTGGATGTGTGTGGATGTATAAGTCTCTGTGTATGTGTGTGTGTATGTCTCTATGGATGTTTGTGTGTGCATGTGTGTCTCTATGGATGTTTGTGTGTGCATGTGTGTCTCTATGGATGTTTGTGTGTGCATGTGTGTCTCTATGAATGTTTGTGTGCATGTATGTCTCTATGGATGTTTGTGTGCATGTATGTCTATATGGATATGTGTGTGCCTGTACGTCTCTATGGATGTGTGTGTATGTCTATATAGATGCTTGTGTGTGTTATCATATATGTCCCTGTGGATATGTTTGTGTGTGTATGGGTGTATGCATGTATGTCTTGTGGATTTGTATGCATGTCTGTGGCTGGATGTGTCCATGAATGTCTCTGTGGATGGATGTGTGTGTGTGTTTGCATGTGCATACTTGAAAAGCAGTAAATTTACTAACTTGCTGCAGTTCTGCAACGCAGGTAGGAAACACATCCCTGGGGAAGTCCTCTCCGGCAAAGCCCACTTTGCACGTGCCTGTACCACAGTCCAGCACAACGGGGACGCCATTAATGTTGTAACGTTTGCGGGAAACTGGTGACGTCTCGTAGTAGGTCTGAATATGCCCCTCCTCTTTCCTCGACCTGCAGACAAGAAACGAAAAAGATGACAATTAACAATCAATGTATAATCTGTTCTGCAATTACCTACCTACCTACAATGTGTATATTTATGACATTCACCCAAAACGCATAGACGTTTATTTTCTTTTACACCTTAACACTCACAGATCCATTCATGATTTAACAAAAGCTTTTCTAAATTGAAAAACAAACTTTTCTCAAATCAACTGCCCTTTACAAAAATGAACAAGAAAAAATTTTGAAATCAAATTAGCTTTTTACTGCACAGGTACAAATGCAATTTATTATTTGATTTTAATTGCTGCTTTATAAATTTCTTTTTTTTTTTTTTTTAAGTGTTTCACCCTAAGCAAGGCAGGAAGCCACTAGCACACAAGGGCTTACAGAGAATTGGAGCAAGAGAAAAGAGGAGTGATAGAGGAAAGGATGAAGAGAAGGATAGTGGATAGATCAAGGCATCTGGAGATGTCAATTGACATTACATTTGAATAGTTGGAAATTATAGCTATCAGGGAAACAGGAAAAAGGAGGGAGTTTCACAGGCAAGAGGTGCGAGACATGAAGCTATTGGAGTAGAAGAGATGGCTACATTTAACAGTTTCGATAGTGAAAAGGGTGAGAGCGAGATGCCAGCCTAGTAGAATGCTTAAATTCATGTTGTTTGGGAACCAGCAAAAGCAGCTCCTCGGAGCAGTTACCATGAAAGTATTTGTAAAAATGACAGAGGGTAACTGCATATCATAATTATAATGTCTTCGGTTTATTTTGTCATAATTTCTTTTACAATTTTTCAGTAATGTTCACTAATGGAAATAGCTTCAAATGATTTCTCATAAATTTCTTCCATGTGTCTCTCAATTTATTAATCATTGTTACTTTAATGTGTGACAGCCTTTCTTTTCTGATTGACAAAAATATTGAAAATTGTTATGCTTTGTGAAATTTTGGAAATTTCATTTCAGATGTTCAAATGGCCTGGCAAGTTGTCATAAAACAACTTTTAATTTTCATGGACCTTCTATTAAAAAAACTAGGCAATCTTTAACTTTCATGCCTTCAAAAACAACGAAGTGTCAAAAGTAAGTTTTTTTTTCCCTTGACACCACTATTATTTTAACTACCTTCACTCCTCAGCAATTTTTATTCTTTTAAAAAGCGATTATTAGAATTGTAATAAAACCTAAATATATGAAGGAAAATCTATACATTTTTTTTGTTCTTGAGAATTTGCAACAAAAATATTAAACACTATTTATTTTTTAGATTGTTTATTTACAAGAATAATTTTATACTTAAAACAACTTCTAAAAACTAATACAATTAAAACTAATGGATTGCATTATTTATAATTTACCAATTTATAAAGAAATAAATTTGAAAAGCAATATTTCTATTCACAAATGATCAAAATATGTAAACCAACTACAATGCAATATTAACAATTTAGCATTTTATAATTAACAAGTTTTTCATCCAGTCTAATAAATAGTGTTTAATATGTTTGTTGTCAATTTCCAACAATAAAGAAAATGTATAAATCCACTTTCATATACAGTACTAACCGTCCTTTTGAAACACTGTTTTTTTTTGCAGGTACAAAGGTTAAATGTTGCCAATCATTTTTCTGACAACTCTTCAATCTGTTGTTAACATGGAAAAGAAATGGCTTGTAAATTTTAATGTCACTGAAGTGAAACTGCTGTCTTTTAGTCATTGTCTTTCATCAACATTGATACTAAGTACCAGGGGTTTTCCGCTGACATGAAATGTAAAGATTATATTGGATCAATTGTTAGGTCTACTACTAGGAAATTTGGTTCACCGTTGTGCTAGACAATTTTTTTTTTTCACCAGAATCCATCTGGCATGCTTATAAATCTACACTGAATATTGCTGCTATAACAGGTCTGGTGACCCTGCTTTATATCTTGAGAAACTTGACAAACTCCAAAGGATCTGTAATATTATAAGTTCTGACCTGGCATCTCAGTTTCAGTCCCTTTTCCACTACCGTAGCTTCTCTATGTCTTTTCTATAAATATTTTCATGGCAATTGTATTGATGAGCTTTCCTCATGAATTTAAGTGTACTACTAGATTGGTAACTAGGACTTATTATTTTACTGTTGAAATGAAAAGATCACATATAGTGATACCTTGACTCATTATGGGGAGTGCTTATTTACAGTTTATAGTGTGGTTATTTTAACTTAAGTTGTTTTTCGACTTAAGTCATGACCTCTGAACTATGTAGGGCGAGGTATGCCTGTAGAATTTCATGCAAGTTCTATTATAGTTGCTTTTTCTCTCGCACTTCATGCCTGTGAAACGCTCTTCCATCTTCTTGTTCTTCGGTCAACTATGATGTTCCAAAAATTTAAATGCAATTGCCATCTTCTGTCATCCTGACTCCTGTTCTTTTATTGTCCTTTCTCGTCACTAACATCTCTCATTTTCTTTCACTCTCAATAACCCTTTATGTCTTAGTGGCATTATCGCCTTGCTTGGGATGAAGTGATTAAATAAAACTTTTGACCATGTTATAATTAATATTTTTAATATTGAAGCAGTTTCTTTAACACATTTACTACATCTAATTGCCAAAAAGGATGCATTTTTATATCTTGACATGAGGATTTTGGACTCATTTTTTATTTCATTGATTTCAAATTCTGATAATCAGAGAAATACAGACAATAAAAACAATTGGACAAATGCAAAAGGAAATATAGTGATACCTCGACTTAAGTTGTTTTGAGTTAAATCTTTTTCAAAGAAATGTCAGTTTTTCTTAAATAATATATGGAAAAATAAAACTTGCCTTAGGTCATTTTACTCAAGTTTACATCAGTCGTTAAAAATATTAGAAACATTAAAACACTAAAATAACAATAAGCACATGTAAAATTATATTCAAATAAATTTAAAATAATAAAATAATACTATATATATATATATATATATATATATATATATATATATATATATTATAGAATCATCAAAAACAATTAGTATAATCAAGTATGTTCAGCAGATGTTCATATTTCAAATTCCTGCCAACAGGCAGCACTCATACATTTTTTTCCTCCAACATCAATTTTGAATTCAGACTGGTTTACATCTGTGCTCTACCATTAACGTTCTTTCAATTACATTTCAATTGTGATATAGAATACATTTTTGCCAATGTCTTCAAAGAAAAGTCCCAGTGCAAGGGCTAATGCTAAATGTAAAGCTATATCATGAGAAGATAAGGTGGAAATTAATTATTTTATTCAGAATACTGTATGTACATATTATAAATACTGTAATATGCAATGGGGAGTGCTTACTTGCAGTTTATAGCGTGGTTATTTTAACTTGTTTTTCGACAAGTCATGACCTCTGAACTATGTAGGGCGAGGTATGCCTGTAGAATTTCATGCAAATATGTGACATGGATGAACTTGAAAAAAGTCAAGTGAATGTAAAAAATGACAAGAGTTTAATGAAAAACAGTTTTAGAAAAAAATTCTTTTTTATTCTTTAGAAACAAGTATTGCTGTTTCAATGGAAAGAAAGAAAAATGTTTCCTCTCTATTTATGTTATTGAAAATTTTGGCTTTAATGAAATTAAACATTGTTCATCAAAGATCATCATAAACTGAATAACTTGTGTTGGCAGTATGACTGTTAACACATAGCCTTGTATAAGTGATATACAACAGACATCCTGTCACCAACATTAAAAGAAGAGAGTGATCAGCAAACATTGAGAAGACATTTGGCATAAAACAAAACTACTACTAGAAAAGGTCATGTTGTGATTCATCAGCAGGCAAGAAAACAGGGCAATAAAATTGACTTTAATGAAATTAAACATTATCCATCAAAGATCTTGTAAACTGAATAACTTGTGGTGGCAGTATCCCTGTTAAATATAGCCTTGTTGTTGCAACCTAGAGAAGGTTACTGAATAGAATAATTACATAAAGGTTGGTAATGAATGATAATACTTAAGACATGAACAACACATATAAGATTTGCCAGCAACACTTAAAAGAAGTAGTCAACAGCTAGAAGTGAGTCAAGTGAATTTCACAATAAATCTCCAAATGCAGACCAACATACAGTATTTACTATTGTATTTATGTGAATGGGGACATACCAATTATCGTCTGTAAGTATGCTACAACACTTGTATAAGTGATATATAACAGACATCCTGCCACTAACATTAAAAGAAAAGAGTGGTCAGCAAACACCAAGAAGATATTTGGCATAAAAAAAAACTATTAGAAAAGGTCATGTTGTGGTTCATCAGCAGGCAAGAAAACAGAGCAATAAATTGGAAAGGAAATATGTGTGTGAAATAAACTCCAAACTAATTTATTTACATTATTACAAATCATGATTTGGTGATTGCTGAATATGTGTTGAAAATGGAATGTTCATTAATAATGTGGAGTGGGGAGGTAAATATAAATTTCAGTACCCTTGAAATAAAACATTTTTGGCCAAGGGCAGCTCGTAGTCTGTTGTTAATATACAATGCAATCTTCATGTCAGCTTTCCATCAACTGGCCAATGATCACTCCCATATTGCATTTCAATTTTCAATCTTGCTGGTATGTGCTGAAAGCTATGGAAGGGCGTGTTGTATGCTCACAAGTAAACAACATGAAAGACAAATGCCACATTGGGGAATAAGAAAGCTAACACTATTTCCTATATTATATGTAGGTGTTTTATTCAGGGCTTCACCTGCTTGTCCAGTTATATAACCTATACTTGGGACAACTTCTGCTATGTCAGCTCTTCTCTCTACCAACTCCTCCACCCATCTACTCATCCCAATGTAATGGCTTCAAAAGCAGACCAGAAGTTTCTACAATCCCAGTCATGACTCTTAATATAGACCAGCACCCAAATATACCCTATTTTCGGTTTTGCTGACACTTGATCTCCAAAACCCCCTAATCAACACTTTTACTTCCCATTAGCCTTTTGTTAAAGTAGATGATCCTTAAAAGAATAAACTTCAAAAGGATCCATCCACTAGTCTATCAAACAGAAACCTATAGTGAGTTGGTATTTGGATTTTCGTCCAGTGTCAGAAGATGGTAATGTTG